CACTGAGAAAATTGTCCAAGATTTGCTGGAGGAGAACTTACCTGAAATGATGAAAGATGATGATATACCCATCCAGGAAGTCCACGAACCCCAAACAGGATAAAAAATTGTCCTTGTCTCTTAGTGATACATATTGAAGAATTATTAAACATTATAATCCCTAGAATTTTTCTTTAAGATAATCCATATATGACTAAGACTTTCTCTTTGGTGATAATTGTTAAACTAGGAGATGACTTCATAGGGTTCTTTATTCTTTTTTATCTAATTTGTTTATATTCAAATATTTTTGTTTCATTTAAAAAATTAGGAAGATTGTGACTACCTGGCATGTACTCACTTGCTTACTAATATATCTTAGATTAAAAAAGTTCTGAGACAGAAAGATTTGAAGACAATCAATATGGCTGTCTTACTATTTAACCTTAGCAAGTATATTAATGTGAGTCCCATGTCGCAGATAGACACATTTGATGAATAAATAACTTACTTTGTAGCAAACCCTAATTGGATGGGTCTACACTGTGTTTGCCTACCTCATTTGATATAAAGTGCCTAAGGTATTTGACTGCTAACTAAATGCTAGCAATTCAAACCGACCTGCCACTCCTCAGAAGGAAGGTGGGGTAATGTGTTTCCATAGTGATACTGCCTTGGAAATGCAAGTAGGGGTCACTATGAGTAAGAGCCTATTCAACAACAGTGAGGTTTTTTTTTTTTTTGGTTTAGCAATTATAGAGGTGCTCTGACCTCCCCTATGGGATGTGTCTGAAGCATCCTGCTTTCCAGTGATCATATTTAATGTACTTGTTCCTAGAAAAGTCTGTGTCTCATTGTCCTGGTGTTTAGTATCACAGGTATATTGAAATTGCTATAAAACAGTGCAGGAGCTCAGGAATTGATTGTAAAATCCATGGTCTTATCATCCTGGGACGGATTCGTACAGAAGAAGAAGATTTGGCTGCAGTTCCTTTTTTAGCTTCAGACAACGAAGAGGAAGAGGATGATAAAGGCAGTAGTGGGAGGTAAGAGTTATTAATACTGACATCATCACATGCTGACTTTCACAAATAAACATTTAATGAGAGTATAGCTCATAATGACAGTACTTTTATGACCACAGGAATGTCTGTCAAATGTTAATTGAATTTTTACATATTTTAAATACTATTTTTAAGAAAATATTTAATGTATTAACACATTATATCTGGAAAAAAGGGAAATAAAAATGATTAATTTTTCTACCTGAGATAACTTTTGTTAAGATCTTGGTATATATCCTTACATATATATTTTTTCCTGTCCCTAAGTATATTTTCCTATTGAAATGGTATAGTGTGTTATTTATTTTTTACTTAGTATTTTATTTTGTACTCTTATCCACATTGATAAATAGTTCACAGTGATAACAATTTTTGTGGATTGTAGTGTTTCATCATTTACTCTTTCAATTCTTTATTTTGAATGAGCACTGTGGTGGTGACTGCTACTGTATTTATTCATTCAATACATATCTCTCAAGCATCTACCATGGGCCAATCCCTGTTCTTTGTATGGGTAATACCATGGTGAAGAAGCAAAATAAAACAAAAGAAACTCATCCCTAATCTTACAGAGTTTAAAATTTAAAGGTAGGAGCCAGATAATAATCAAATGATCTTATTACATAAATGTGACATAGCAGTGTTGAGTGACAAGAAGGAGAGGGTGTGATGCTCTTGAGAGTCTCCAGTAGGGGCATTGATCTGTCAGGGAAAAAAAGGAAAACCTCCCCCCTAAAACCAGAATTACAGGAAGAGTAAGAATTACCATAGCAAAGTAGGTAGGAAAGAGTGTTTCAGGCAAGGGGAGCAGCCTATACAAAGAGAAAAAAACAAAACCTAATTTAGTACCATCAAGTTGATTCTGGCTCATAGCAACCCCCTTCGGGTTTCCAAGATTGTAAATCTTTACAGAAGTAGATTGCCCAGGGCACTTTGGTAATAAGATAGAAGACTAGGCAGACAAGGGACACAGACCCTCTTCAACAAAGAGAAGAAAAACCAGTTAACAGAGATATAGAAGATCATGCTGGAGCCCTGCACTTTGAAAGGAACTATGCAGAAGTGGATTAGGCACCAACTAGTGAAAAAACCTGAACAGAAAGAGTGAGTACAGAGACAGTCAGAGTTGTGGAATGTCAGCTACTCTGATTGGACCAACAGCCTGTATATTTCCAAGTGGTGTTGGGACCTGAGAATTGACCTAAAGATCAGCCCTGGTCACTAAGGGCTGCAGGACGACTGTGCTGCTGGCCTATGACTATGAAACAGCAAGGAGGGAGACAATCTGAGCTGTTGACTTTCTGCTGTCCGGAGGGTGCAGCCATTTTGAATGTTTACAAGTTGTGGCCATTTTGGATGTTTAACATGACCGAGGGTGAAGCCATTTTGAATCTTTCCAAGTGGCAACCATTTTGGATTTTAAAGTGATAGCATTCTCATTCAGATTCCAGGGACTTAAGAATAGGCTCTGTTTGCCAAGGTCAGCAGAGACATATGAGAGGCAGACAACAGGAAAGGTACAGGTGGTGAGTGTATAAGTGCTGTCAACTAGCAAATAGAGGAACATAGTACCCTGTTTGTATAGATAACATTCAAACAACACAAGGAAAACAAAAATTGTGGGCAAGTCACTCCCACATACAATCACCAATTAAATATAAACACAAAAATGCCACAATGCCTCAGAGACAACAGAGCATCACAGTCCACACAAAGAAGCAAGATAAAGCAGGAGAAACAGAGGACCAGGGTATAGACCCAAAATACATCCCTGAGGAAGATGAAGCATTGGAACTCCCTGATAAAGAATTCAAAAGAATTATATTTTGGTACCTTCAATGATATGCAGAGCACATAATCCAAGAAGCTGGACTATATGAAGAAAAACGTGGCATCAGGTTTGGAGGAAGAATCATTAACAACCTGAGATATGCAGACAATACAACTTTGTTTGTGGAAAGTGAGGATGACTTAAGGCACTTATTGATGAAGGTTGAAGAATACAGTCTGCGGAATGGATTATGTCTCAATATAAAGAAAACAAAAATCCTCACAACTGGACCAATGAGCAGCATCACAATAAATGGAAAGAAGATTGAGGTTGTCAAAGAATTCACGTTGTTTGGTTCTACGATCGATGCCAATGGAAGCAGCAGTCAGGACATTAGACAACGTGTAGCATTGGGAAAGTCAACTGCGAAGGAACTGTTTCAAGTGCTGAGGAGCAAGGATGTCTCCTTGAGGACTAAGGTGCACCTGACACAAACCATGGTATTTCCAGTTGCCTCATATGCATGTGAGAACTGGACAGTGAATAAGGAACACTGAAGAAGAGTTGATGCTTTTGAGTTGGCGAAGAATGGTGAAAGTACCATGGACTGCTAAAAGAACTAGCAGATCTGTCTGGGGGAAGTGCAGCCGAGATGCTCCTTGGAAGTGAGAATGGCCAGACTTCATTTCACCTATTTTGGTCATATTGTCAGAAGAGACCATTCCCTGGAGAAGGATGTCATGCTTGGTATGGTAGAGGGTCGATGAAAGAGGGGGAGACCTTCAATGAGATGGATTGATGCGGTGGCTGCGATGATGGGCTCAAATATAGCAGGGATTGTGGGGCTGGCGGGCGCGGGATCGGGCTGTGTTTCATTCTGCTGTGCATGGGGTCGCTATGAGTCAGAAATGACTTGACGGCACCTAACAACAACCTTCAGTGAATTAAGAGACAGATCAAGGAATATACAAAGAAAACCCTAGAACAATTTTGAAAGACAATACAAGAACAAAATCACAAAATAATTGAAAAATTAGAAATGATACAAAATCTACACACACAAATCCAGAAGATTAAAACAAAATTTCAGAAATAGATAAGACATTGAATGGACAAAGGAGCAGAATTGAATCAATGGAAGACAGAATTAGGTAGATTGAATGCAAGTACATGAACAGTTCTTTGGAAAGAGATAATTCAGATAAAAGATCAAAACAAAATGAAGAAAGCCTAAGGTTCATGTGGGATACAATCAAAAGGAATAACCTACATGTAATTGGAATTCTAGAACAGGAAGAGGCAAATAAAACCACAGAGAAAATTGTTGGAGATATGTTGGAAAAGAATTTTCCTAGTATGATGAAAGATGAAAATATATCCATTCAGGAAGTCCAACAAACCCCAAACAAGATAGACCCCAAAAGAAAATTACCAAGACATATCATCATCAAACTTGCCCAAACCGAAGACAATGAAAGAATCATGAGAGCAGCATGGGAAAAACGAAAAGTTATCTACAAGGGTCAACCAATAAGACTAAGCTTGGATTTCTCAGCAGAAACCATGCAGGCGAGAAGACAATGGGATGGTTTATATCAAACACTGAAAGAGAAAAATTTTGTACCAACAATTATGTACCCAGCAAAACTGTCCCTCAGATATGATGGTGAAATTAGGACATTTCCAGATAAACAGAAATTAAGGGAATGTGTCAAAACCAGACCAACCTTACAAGAGATGCTAAAGGCAGTCCTTTGGACAGAGAAGCAACAATTCAAACCACTTGTATCTATATACATAAATTTAATTAAATAAGGAAAATACCAGATCACTTTAAAAAGGAAATCATTGGGATTTTTAAGAGAAAAGATTAAAGATTAGCACTTTCTTATTCAGTAGCTACTAAAATTGGGCAAATAGAAACAACATATGTACCCTATATGTAAGAGCTCTGGTAGCATAGTGCCTGCACTTGACTGCTAACCAAAAGGCTGGCGGCTCAAACCCACCAGCCATGCCTTGGAAGGAAGGTTGGGCAGTCTACATCCGTAGTGATACTGCCTTGGAAACCTAAGGAGGGGGGAGGGTTCACTATGAGTCAGGTCCAACTCGACGGCACATAACAACAGCAACTGTATATGTGAAATAAAAATGTTTTAAACTTTATTGATCATATTTTTACATAATTGAATATATTCCCAAAAGAAAATCTAGGTGTTTGAATGTAATGTTTTTTTTTCCTGTAATCTGTCATTAGCTAGCTTTAGGTGACTCCGTGATCTTAGCAATCTCTGCAGGGACGTAGTCATTATGCCTGTGTGCCCCAAACTGACCAAGGGGCATCGGTTCTGCAATGTGGATGGTTACATGGCGCCAGTTATTAAACTATTTTGAATCTCTCTTGGTTTTCAGTACATGTTTTTGACTAAAACTGTGTTGTGGATTATTTCAGATGATCACAATGCTTTCCTTTGTCTGGTATCAGATAAAAGAATTTCTGTACGTTTTTATCCCAACACCATAAAATTTAGATTCCTTACACTAAATGTTCATTAGTATTTAAATGTGCTAAAAAATTTTACCTATAACAATTTGACCTAATCTACGGAGCCCTCAATTGTTCATCCTACCTTATACAAATAGAATAAAAGTGGAATAACAAATAAATATGAAATTCGAAATGCAGAGAACAGTTCATTAACACCTGGCATTAAAGTAACAACCAAGAAAATTGGAGTGCTTTGGCTACTATTGGTTAATCCTCTAGCCCATTGAAGACAGGTGAGGTAATGGGAATGAGCAAGCTCTAGAAACTTCTCCAGGTGTACATCAGGACTCCTGGGAGGAAAAGGAGGCAGGGAAATGGCTGGGGGTCTGGGTGGGGAGAGTGTCAAAGAAGAAAGTGGCCTTTTGCCTCAGAACATGTGTTAGAATACCTTGGAGTTGACACAGTTGCATGTATTTTATTTATACACAGTTGCATGTATTTATACACAGTTGCATGTATATATTTTGGGGGGCAAGGGGAACAAGTGATCAGACAGATTTAGAAATGTTGCAGTGCCAATTGCAGTTTAAGTAGTGTTCTCTACATTTATACCCATAATAGGTATGCACCATGGAAATCAGTAGGTATTGTTATGAGTCATCAAGAGAGTTATTAGCCGTTGTTGTTGTTGTTATGTGCTTGTTGGCCCGAAGTCATAGTGTCCCCTCCTTGAGTCTCTGGGGCGGTATCACTATGGAAGTAAATTGCCCAACCTTCCTTCTGAGGAGTGTCTGGTGGGTTTGATCCGCCAGCCCTCTGGTTAACAGTCAAGTGCCTTAGGCATTACACTACCAGAGCTCCTTATTAGCCATTAGAGAAATGCAAATCTAATGAGATACCATCTAATCTTGGTAATAATGGCACTGATCAAATATCCAGAGAACAACAAATGCTAGTGAGGTTGTGGGGAAGATAAAACTCTTAAACACTACTAGTGGAACTGTAAAGTGATAAATCACTGCAGAAAATGGTATGGTGCTTCCTTAAGAAGCTAGAAATAGAAATACCATATGATCCAGCAATCCTATTCCTATGTTTATGTGCTAGAGAAAAAAAGAGTTGAGACATGAATAAACATATGCACAACCATGTTTATTGCAGTAATATTCACAGTAGCAGGAAGGTGGAAATAACCTAAGTGTCCATCAGTGCATAAATGGATAAATGAATTGTGGTACATAGGTAAAATGGGATATTGTGCAATGATAAAAAATAAAATTGAATCTTGAAACACTTCACAAATTGACATTATGCAATTGAAAAGTCAGTTACCAAAGAACAAATATTATATGAGGCACTGTTATAAAAAATCAGGAGCTCTCGTAACGTAGTGCCTAAGGTACTTGACTGCTAACCAGTAGGCTGGTGGTTCAAAACCACCAGCCACTCTTCAGAAGGAAGGTTGGGCAATCTGCTTCTGTAGTGATCCTGCCTCAGAAACCCAAGGAGGGGTCACTATGAGTTGTGTCTGCCTTGACAGCACATAACAACAGTAACAACAACATTATAAAAAATCAAGAATAGTTTTAGAAAGTAATTTTCTTTAATAGTTTCCAGGAATGGGAAGGTAACAGAGGGAGAATCACTAACTAGATGTTGTTGTTATGTGCCCTCAAGTCGGCCCCGACCATAGTGATCCCTCCTTGGGTTTCTGAGGAGGTATCACTACAGAAGTAGATTGCCCAACCAAATATTAGACATATTAATTCTTGTGTCAAGAAAAGCAATACACAATATAGGGAAAGTCAGCACAACGTGGCCAAAGCAAAGGAAGACACTGAAAGGTATTCAAGAATAAAGGACAACTGTGGTAAATACTGTATCATATATAATCCTGCAACAACAGTAATAATAAACAATAATTTCTAAGTGGATACATAAATAGGTATGCATGCTAAATAGATTTGGGAGTTGGTATGAGCAACACCTGTGGGCATGTGTAGATAATGGTTTTGAATTTTTCTACATCCATTATTTGTACGTTTTGTGTGTGTGTGTGTGTGTGTGTGTGTATGTATATATATGTATATGTGTGTGTGTATATATATATATATATATATATATATATACATACACATAACCAAACACTTTGTAGGACTGAGCTACTGGGCTTGAAGACACTAAAGAGCATAGTCTTGGGGGGCATTCAGATCAGTTGCATAGCAAAGGACATAAAGATACTGTTCTACATTGTAGTTTGGTGAATAGTGTCTGGGGTCTTTAAAGCTTGCAGGAAGTCATGTAAGGCAGAACTATTGGTCCTTTCATGCTTGGAGCAAAGGAGAATGAAGATAACCAAATACTCAAGGAAGCAATTAGTCCAAAAGACTACTGAACCACAGTCTCCTGTAACCTAAGATGAGAAAAACTAGGTGGTGCCTCGTTGCTACTGCCAACCATTCTGATCAGGAACACAATAGAAGGTCCCTGTTAGAATGGGAGAAAAATGTAGATTAAAACTCAAATTCATAAAAAAGACCAAATTTACTGGATACTGCAGGAACTCATAAGACTATTGCCCTAAGTCACCCTTGTAATGAACTGCAGCCACTCCCAGAGACCACTTCTCAATCTAATATTAGACAGGCCTATAAAATAAACTGTAGCCTTGAGGAATATGCTCCTGAGAACAGGCAACTGTATGAGATCAAGGGAACAACATTTGTCCCCAAGCAAAGGTAAGGCTGAAAGGGGCTGGGAAATTGGACATAGGGAAACTAGGCACCCTGCGTGGAAATGAGAGTGCTGACACATTGCAGAGATTGCAACCAGTGTTGCAGAACAATTTGTGCATGAATTATTGGATGGAGAACTAATTAGCTATGTAAACTTTCACACAAAGCACAATAATTTTTTTTAAGTATCTTCAACTTGATATTTAAGGAGAAAGAGAAATGCACACCACACACACACAATGAATAAAAAGCTAATATAAAATTCTAGTATTCTAGTTTAGAGATTTTGACCCTCTGGAACCATTATTCCTGTATATTCTTAGAGTTTTACTGTAATAAAACCTAAAACAAATGTTTCGATAATAACCAGTAAGCCACCCATACTGGCTAACCTATATTTCTATATTTCTTCCGTTGGTTAGCCTTATGAGAAAGAAGGCTGCAGGACTGGAATTGGCTGCTACGATAAGAACCAAAGTGTTTGTGTGGGGGCTGAACGACAAGGACCAGCTGGGCGGACTGAAGGGCTCTAAGGTACCTCCAGCCACGTGCATCCTGCTGTCAGAAACAATGTTTGTCGTTCCTTTATCTGGGAAATGTTCAACAACAGCAACAGTACATCTTCTGACTTTTTTATAATCGTTTTACCTTCCGTATGTTGTTTTTTAAAGTGTATTTTTCTGAAGTTATTCTTGACATACGCTAATCCAAAAAAAAAAAAACCCCAAACGTGCTCTAATAGATATTATCAAATTCAGTTTCTGAAAAGCCTTTGTCCTTGGAAAATGGTATACTATAGAGATAGTTTTTCTATTGCTGTTTTATAAAAATTATAGAGATAAAATATACTTCTTTTGTCTTTAACACAGTAAACATTTTTGATTATCATGGACATAATAATGTATAGAATGCCACATTGGTACAAAGATGAGCAAGATATAATCTGTACCCTCTAGACACTGGGTATCTGAGATGCTTCAGAATGAAATGGCCTCTGTGTTGAGAAAGGATGCTTTGTGAGCTTAGAGACACAAGTGTGTACATGTACATATATTTCCTTTTTGTGGTCATTCAGCTTGACATCTTTAATCCCATAGTACTTCGATGAAAGGTTAATTTGTAAAGTATTTTAAGTTGCTAATAAAAAAATAACAGTGTTTTAAAGAGTAAATGTAAGAAATAATGCATTTGGGCTAGAGTTGAATTCGGTGTCCTTGTATTACTGTGTCTCTTGTCTGAGGAACCAGAAGACAAGTTCCTCCAAATTTTAATTCTAATAAGTGTTTATACTTCTAGTATTCAGTGAATGTTCGCATAATTTCCCTTACTACTTGCCTTCATAATTGAAACCCTGAGAACTAAATTTAGAACTCATTTATGTTAAGGGCCCCAGTACCGTGAATTTTTTTCTTTATTTGAACGGTCTTGACTTAACGTTTGTGGAGTACAAATAAATTTATCATTTGTGAGAGTGCATGTTGGTCTTGGTTCTGCAGGCTGTCTTTGGAAGTCCTAATTGCTCACTGTTGTGGTTAGAGTTTTCACCTGAAAAGTTAGATTTGGAAGGGCTAGGTTTGATGATCCACAGTGTAATGGAAATTCTCTCTTACACTATGGTAGTAATGATTGACTGATAATTTCTGATACATAGAGAATCATAAAGGATGTCTTAGACAAGGTTAAGTATTTTAAATTAAATCATATCCATTTACCATGGGCGGTTTAAGCATATAATTTCTTAGAGATGTCAAAGACAGTGAGCAAGACATAACTTGAAATAAACGATAGCTTATAAGATATTTATTTAGATCTGTATTTAGCCTTTTATTATGGAAATCTTCAATAGTACTCTATAGGGCAGCGAGTCACTGGTAGCAGCCTCAAAAGCTCTCAACAGATGGCTACCTCCCCCCTGATTTATTTTACATTAAAGTTCATGTGTCATTTCATCTTTAAATACTGCAGTATTACCCCTAAGAGATAAGATGCCCTTTTGTTAATATAACCATACATATTAACAGTAATTCTTTGTACAAAAGTAATTCTTTATACAAAAGCTGGAACCTGTGTCAGGCTGAAAGCTGTCAGAGAAGGAAAACAAGTATTTTCTACTAAACCAAGCAATAGAAGAGTGGTTAAGATTGCACTTTGCCAAAGGTGGAAAACTTGCAAGACCCACAAAAACAAGGCAGTGCTGCTGAGTTCGGCTTTCATGGGTTTCACTGTATCATCTAATAAGGTACTTAAGTTTTACTTAATGAAATAATTATCTTTTCCTTTTAAAAAAATTCTGTTGTAGATAAAAGTTCCTTCATTCTCTGAGACCCTGTCTGCTTTGAATGTAGTACAGGTAGCTGGAGGTTCTAAAAGTTTGTTTGCAGGTATGATTATGTTATAATTTTTAAAGTGTTTAATTGTGCTTAACACCAGAAATATAGTTGTTATGATCTGAGTCCTTTTCCTCTGCTTGTTCCTTGCAGTAACTGTAGAAGGGAAGGTCTATGCCTGTGGAGAAGCCACCAACGGGCGGCTAGGGCTTGGCCTCTCCAGTGGGACTGTGCCCATCCCACGGCAGATAACAGCCCTAAGCAACTACATGGTGAAGAAGGTGGCTGTGCACTCAGGTACAAGCCCAGTGTCTCTATTTTGTAAGGGTGCACCTAAAACTCCTACTCTGCATGTAATTAAACTCCTGAAATAACTTCCTAAGTGGTCCTTGGATTCTTTTTCAAGTTTTTCTTAATTTGCAGGAATAAAAATTGGAGAATATAAATCTTGAGGTGGTCCAAAATTTAATTACGATTACTAAAGTAGGGTTTTTGGAGGCCTGCCGTTATTGTCATTTCAGTTGTGTGAGTGTGTGACCTGATCCTTCCATGAGTCCATGGTCCATAGCATCTATGAAATCAGGGATAGAGTTCTATTTTTAAATTGTGCTATTTTTCCTGAAAGTGTCAGTGAACCCCAGTGATGAAAAAGATTCTTAAAAACAAAAAAATCCATACTCCTTCAATTTTGTAAACCTTTATTTAGTATTATTTTTAAGCACTATGCTAGGCCTGTGGGGAACAGAGCTGAATTAGGTACAGAACTTAGTTCCAGCTTGTTCTGAATAGGATTAAGTTTAACCCCCATGTAACAGAAAATCCAAATGACAGTGGCTTAAGCCATATAGAATTTTGTCTTTCTTCTCTGTAAATGAACAGATCTGCCCTAGAAGAAGTGCAGCTGGAATGCTCATTAGAAGGTAGAATGGCCAGACTTCATCTCACTTACTTTGGCCATACTGTTAGAAGGGACCATTTCCTGGAGAAATCACTTGCTTGATAAAGTGAAGGGTCAGCATAAAACCAGAAGACCCCCCCCAACATTATGGATTTACACAGTGGCTGCAAGGATGGGCTCAAGTTACATTAAGGATTGTGAGAATGACCTAGGACCAGGTGGTGTTTCCTTCTGTTCTACATAGGTTGTGGTAGTTTAAGTTTGTGTGTCAATTTGGCTGGACCTCCTTGAGTTGGCTGGGCAGCTAAATGTAGTTATTCCCCATGGTGAGATTGGTAATTAACTCCATGATGGAATCTATTGGAGCAGCTGAGTAACTGCTTTGGCTATGTGGTCTTCATCCTGTACATAAGAAACAGCTTTGGGAATGGTCTCTAGCTTATGGTATGCTTGAACCCTGCATGTAGCCGTGTCATTGTTCAGTAACCTGCCATGATCTGCTGACGTTGGGACTTTCAATGGACTTGAAGGAGGTGTTGCTATGAGTTGAATCAACTCGATGGCAGTGAGTTTGGTTTGATGTGGCTTGGTAACATTGGAACTGTGCCTTTTTACTTGTCAACCTTGGGCTTGTTAATCTCAGCAGCCAGCAGCTGCCTGAGTGAAGAAAAGCCTCTGATTCCAGTGGGTCAGGAGCTGGAGGCAGAGCTGAAGCTCAAGGTTGAGGGGCTTTCACCTAGCTCCTAGAGCTTGGCACTCTGAACTCAGACTTGAAGCCTCCAAACTGTAAGAGAATAAACTCCTGTTTGTTCAAGCCATCGCTTTGTTAGAGTGGCACAGAGGTAACCAACATAGAGTCACTGTGAGTCAGAGCTGACTTGATGGCACATAACAACAATAATCTATGTAAAATCTAGAGTTAGGAGACCAGGGCTAGTAGGCAGCACCATGTCTGTGAGTACCTGGGATCATTCTTTCTATCCATCTTTATTGAAATGTGGACACTACTCACCTCTAACCGTCACATCCAAGTTCCAGGCATAGGAAAAATAGGCGTAAGAAAAGCGTTTCTTCCAGCCCGTTCAGCCCCTTCTAAGGAGTTTTTCTGGAAGCCTCACTTCTGTTGCCTCTCAGTCACCATCCCTTATAGGCACAGGAGGCAAGGAAGCATGATTTTTAGCTGAGCAGATTGTATCCTGGTAATATGGGGTCTCTGTTAGGGATGAGGGAGAGTGGATGTTAGGTGGACTGGGAGCCTAATTTGCCCCAGATGTTTAAAGAGAGGTCTTGGGAGTTAAGACAGTATTCTTCAGTTCTGAGGCAAGGAGAAGAATGCACAAGGGAAATACTCCATGCTGGGGGAAGTGTGAACAGATGTGTTTTATTTGTTTGTTTGTTTTTATCGTGCTTTAGGTGCAAATTTACGAAGAGGATTTGTTTTACATTCAACATTTCATGTACATTTGGTTTCACTCCCCAATTACCATCTCCAACCCTAAACCACTCTCCTCCTCTCCCTTCCCAGTGACTCCCCCCAACCCCCAATCCCTGTGCCCTTCTTAGTTATGCACTTCTGTCTATCTAGCTTTTCCTCCTTATGAATGTTGCCCCTCTGGTGCCCCATGGCTGATTGCTGCAAGGGATGTATCTTTGTAAAGTAAGCGAGTGTATCGTCCTAGGTTGAGTGTTCTGCATGCAAGTCTTATTTACTGTTGGGCTGAGAGACAGCTTTTGGGAATGAATTTTATCCCAGGCTCGAAGTGTATCCCAGGGCCGTAGTCTTGGGGGTTCCACCAGACTGCATCCAACCAGTAATTCTGGTTATTATAGTGTTTTTAGATTTTGTTGCACATTTTTCCTCCCACTCTATCCAGGATTTCCAGTTTTGATCTCCTCCCAAGTGGTTGGCATTGGTAGCTGCGCACCATGTAGTTCTGGTCTTGAGGATATGTCCTAGGGCTGATAGTTTCCAAATGCCCTTGTTTTTCTTTATTCTTCTTTGCTTCTGACAGTAGGATACCATCAGCTGCACCTTAGATGGTCATTTGAAAGCTTTTAAGACCCCAGTCGCTACTCACCACCGTTGTGGAACAAGATTATGTTTTTTGTTGTGCCAGTTGAGTTTGGTGTCCCCCAGTACTGTGGTCCTGAGTTGGCAGATCCGGTGGATCTCTCTCCCTCAAAATCTGAAAGTCAATGAGGGATAGCTCTATGTTTGTCTTCTGCTGCTTTTGTAATGATTTTGGGTATTTTGTATCACTGTTACGTGTGCAAGATTAGCCTCAGCTGAATCTATCATTGGTCTAGGAATATTCCTGTTCACTGACCCCCATCTGAACTTCTCAGTTGTCTATATGTTTATGTGTAGCCTGGTGTTTTGTGTTAATGGTAATGCAGTGTTATGGATGCTGGTATTAGCCTCTGTTGTCTATATGTTATGTGCACAATTCGGTGGTCCTCCCTAGTCACAGACTCTTTCCATACCATCCCTCCCCTTACCCAACTTGGTGTGTGGTCCCTGACTAGTCCAAAATTATCCCCTTCTCCACCCTGGTTACCTACAAAGTGAGTTCCCTTCTCTAAGCAAACCCTTCCTTCACTTTTTACAGTCATGGGCTCATACACCAATTGTCCTTCTGCAATTGATGTGTTTCACTCAACATACTGTCCTCTAGATTGATTCACATTGTGAGATGATATGCATATTCTTCATTGTTCTTTACTGTAGCGTAGTATTTCATTCTGTAAATGTACCATAGTTTGGTTATCCATTCATCTGTTGATGGGCATTTAGATAGTTTCCATCTCTTTGCTATAATGAATTGTGCTGTGATGAGCATGGGTGTGCATATGTCTGTTTGTGTCCTATTTCTCACCTCTTTAAGATATATTCCTAGTGGTGGAATTGCTGGAAATGCTATTTCTGTTTTCAATTTTTTAAGGAAACACCATGCCATTTTATAGTCCCACCAACAGTGTATGAATGTTGAATCTCTCTGCAGCCTCACCAGCATTTGTTATTTTCTGTCCTGTTGAAATTTGCTAATAGCAAAGTTTGCTGGGGTGAGATGATACCTCATGGTTGTTTTGATTTACATCTCTCTAACAGATAATGACCATGAGCAATTCCTCATGTGTGTCTTGGCCACCATCATAACATCTTTAGTGAAATGTCTGTTCATGTCTCTTGTCCAGTTTTGAACTGGATTGTTTGTCTTTTTGGCATTAAGGTGTTGAAGTTTTCTATAGATTTTGTAGCTAAGTCCTTTGTCAAATATGTCAGCAAATATTTTCTTCCAAATATGTAGGTTCTCTTCTTACCGTTTTGATGAAGTCTTTCCATGCACATAAGAATTTAATTTTTAAAATGTCCCAGTTATCTAGCTTCTCTTCCACCTCTTGTGCATTCTGGGATACACTTGATAGTCTATTTATGACATAAATTAGGGCCCCTCGTTTTGCCCCCATTTTATCTTTGATGAAGTTTATAGTTTTGGGTTTTACATTTACATCTTTGATCCAACTTGAGTTTGTTTTTGTGTATCGGGTAAGATATGGGTGTTGTTTCATTTTTCTGCAATTAGACACCCAATTTTGCCAACATCATAATTATTTTTTCTATATCCTTAAAAATTTGGTTGGTATCTGGATTGGGATTGCATTAAATGTGTAGATTGCTTCAGGTAGTATTGATATTTTCGCAATATTCAGTCTTCCTATCTATAAACAATGCAAGTTCCTCCATTTATGTAGATCCCTTGTAGTTTCTTATAGTAGTGCTTCATGGTTTTCTTTGTATAGGTCTTTTGTGTCCCTGTTGTTGTTGTTGTTATGTGCCATTGAGTTGGACCTGACTCATAGCGACCCCGCTTTGGGTTTCCGAGGCAGTGTCACTACAGAAGTAGATTGCCCCATCTTCTATTTGAGGAGTGGCTGGTTAATAGTCAAGTGCCTTAGGCACTATGCTACCAGAGCTTATTCCTAGATATTTTATCTTTGTGGTAGCTGTTGTAAATGACATAATTTCCTGTATTTCTTTTTTTTTGAGGTCTCTTTGTTGGTGCAAAGGAACCCAACTCATTTTTTTATGTTAACCTTGTATCTTGCCACTTTGCTGAACCTCTCAATTTGTTCCAGTAGTTTTTTTGCTGAGTATCTTTGGTTTTCTATGTACAGGATCATATCATCCATGAAGAGATACCTTTAGTTCCTCGTTGCCAATTTGTATGCCTTTTATTTCTCTTTCTTGCGTTATTGACCTGGCTAGGACTTCCAGTGCATTGTTAAATAGGAATGGTAATAGAGGTCATCCTTGGCTCGTTCCCGTTTGTAAGGGGAATGCTTTGAGTCTTTCTCCATTAACAATAATGTTGGCTGTTGGCTCTGGATATGTGCCTTT